TTAGTGAAGCTATTAATCCTTCACACATGGTCCCATCTCACCTTAAAAAAGACATTCTGGAAGGCAAGGATGTCAACCTGGTGTCATTGCTTATAGCCTCCCGGGATGTCCTAGAGAATAGGACATATCAGTTGTACTAAGGGCAAGAGACCCAAGGCTGAACAAAAAATTGTCAATCCCTGAATTTGTACTGGGTTTTGGGATTTATAGGGATGTTTACTGCTCAGTATACCCGGGGAAAAGAGCAGAGCTGGATGCTTACATGCACAAGATGGTGGACCTAGGGGAACAAATACGGTGGTACCGCTTTTTACGATTACCACCGTTCCTTTTCTTCAAAGGTGGCTGCAGCTCAGGCTCAGTTCAATTTAAGCATTAATTGGAGCAAATTGGACACTGAGTTATTCTGTAGGCATTTTGCAGGCCTCAGGCCTCCTGTTTGTGCAGTTTGCGCATCTACAGCACATCACACAAATTTCTGCCCAAACACAGCAGAAATCGAACAAAACCAATCTAACCCTAACTTTCCTAAATCTGCCAGGGGATTGAAAGACAAACTGGGGAGGGACATTGTATTCCTGGGTAAATCCCAGGTTTGCAATAACTTTAATGCGGGCAATTGTGGTTTCAGCTCTTGTAGGCTGATGCATATATGTTCCCACTGTTTCAGGGCCCATGCCAAAACTATGTGCCCAAATAAAGCATTCCCCAAACCATATCACACGTGTGTGAACATCACATTATTGACCTCACTTTTACATCTACATCCTTCACGTCATTTCACTGACTATATTATTTTGGGCATGACTGAAGGGTTTCACACTGGGTTGGTCCATTTACCCTCCAGTACACTGGAATGCGACAACCTACAATCCACGTTAGACGATCCACAGTTGGTAGACACTCTTATCTCGACCGAGGTGAAACAAGGATTTCTGTTGGGGCCATTCTTTTCCCCACCCTTCACATCTTCGAGAACCAATCCTATAGGGGTGATCACAGGGAAGACCTCACTCAAACCCAGACTGATAATTGATTTATCTGCACCACACTCCTCCACTGTCCCCAGCCTTAACTTTCTAATACCTTCCAAAGAATTCTCACTACACTACGCCACTATCGACCATGCCATAGAGGCCATTCTTCAAGCTGGCATAGGAGCATGGCTGAGTAAAACCTATGTGGTAAACTCCTTTAAATTGCTACCCATGCATCCTTCCCTATGGCATCTACACGTCATTAAGTGGCAGGGGAGGTATTATTTCTTCACCCGACTAACTTTTGGCTCCAAAAGCAGCCCACGTATTTTTGACACGTTTGCAAAGGCTTTATGTTGGTTGTTACTAAATGTGTGCAAGTGCCCTTCGGTTATCCACTATCTGGACGATTTCCTCATGATTGAGAATAACACACTTCCATCCAGTAGTTTGAATCACTTGTTGGCTTTGTTTGAATCTCTCAATATTCCTGTCTCTCCTCACAAAACTTTGGGTCAAGATACCAACATGCAATTTTTGGGGATCCAACTAGACACGATACACATGCAGGCTAGTCTACCTCAGGACAAGATTGAGCGTACCCTGGCAAGTATTGAACATTACCTGCTACAAGGTCATTGCAATCGCAAAGAACTTCAATCACTGCTTGGATCACTCAATTTTGCCATGAGGATCATACCCCAAGGTAGATCTTTTATATCCCACCTGCTATCCTTGTTTCCACTTTTCTCCTCAGACACTTCACGTATCACATTAGATGTACACGCAACCTCAGATTTACGCATGTGGTTTTTTTTCTCACCTCTTGGAATGGGCGAACCATGTTTATACCACCCCCCTCCGACACTTCACTTACACTGTGGACAGATGCCGCAGCTAACACAGGCTTTGCCGCTATCTGGGATGATCAATGGCTATGGGGTCCTTGGCCGACCGAAGTCACATCACTACAAAATTCTCTGATACCTCGGCTTTATTCGAGTTGTACCCAATCTTGGTGGCAGCCATTGCTTGGGGACCATATTGGTCTGGTCACGCGGTCAGGTGCTACTCAGATAACATGGCTACATGCTATATTGTCAATAAAGGCCGATCGGCATCACTGGTCATTATGAGATTACTAAGGCGTCTCACATGGGTAGCGGCCACTTGTCAATTCTTTATAACATGCATACACATTCCGGGGTACACAAACACCTCTGCTGATCACTTGTCTCGGTTTCGTTTCCAGGCTTTCCTCTCGACACTACCAAACGCTTCCAGACGAGAGACACCTGCACCTCTATTCCAAGATATAATAATGGATTAAAGACCTTGTTAGATCACGCATGTCACATTTCTCATATGGCACTCTCAGTAAACACTAGGAACACTTATGATAGGGCTTTTCACGTATTCAAACAATTTATCACCGAGTTTCACATTCACGACATTTGCGTTAGAAACGATTTTGGGTTTTACTTTTTTTTGCCACATTAACCTTAAACTATCCTTTATTACTATTAAACTGTACCTTACTGGCATCCAGCACCATATGCTTATCCAACAACCTAACACTACGGGTTTTTTGACATCATACCAAATAAAAACATTACTTATAGGCATTAAAAAATTAGATACACATGTTCCCTCACAAAGACTACCCATAGACAACAACATATTCCACTCTCTATCCAACCTATTAGATTCATCTACTTTTGAACCCATGACCAATAACACAATCAAAACAGCCCTATATCTCGCTTTTTACGGGTTCCTAAGGCCCAGCAAATTTACAACCACGACCATCACCGCACATGACTACCTTAGAACCAATGATTTACAAAAACATACCGACCATTACATTCTCTCTCTAAGACAATCAAAAAACAGCACTGAAGGACACACTATTCGAATTCCTCTGTACCCTACTCACAATATATGGTGCCCAGTAAAAGTTTTGGACACTTATTCACTTTCAGTCCAAAAACAACCCCAACAGCCTTTGTTTGAACTGCATTGACACACTCTGACCACAGCTAAATTCATACTATACATACGACTACTGTTGACCAGGATCGGCCTAAACCCCAATCAATTTTCAGGTCACTCTTTCCGTATAGGAGCAGCATCTTCAGCATCCGATAACCACATACCCACTCATATTATTAAGGCTATGGGACGCTGGAAATCCTCCACCTACACACTCTACATACCCAATCCTGTTAAAGAATTAAGACAAGCTTTTTGTGCCTTATCTCAATAAACGAAGTTGATTCACGAATTATGTTTTCTGGTAATTTTCTTTTGCCCACATTTATTACAGGCCTACTGCTTTGTCGGTTCCGGCACACCACAACCGACTGGCGCTAACTTATGGATGTTGTGATTGTATTATGCTAAGATTTCTCTGTTCGGCCATATTGCCCCGACTACAAATTTGAAGGCTTGGCCTGTAGTTGTGGGAGGGGCTTGGTTCACCTTTAAAAGGGCTGCCAATCCACTCCCACCTTACCGTTGCTGGTCTGGCGAGTCAACCCTCCCACCACTCCCTCTATTTATAACACCCTCTAAGGTGGGCCCACTTTTATTACAGGCCTACTGCTTTGTCGGTTCCGGCACACCACAACTGACTGGTGCTAACTTATGGATGTTGTGATTGTATTATGCTAAGATTTCTCTGTTCGGCCATATTGCCCCGACTACAACCATGGTTTAAAATGGCACCTACTAAAATCAATAAAACTATTAACGTCTACAGATTTTTAAAAAGTCCTACTCTTGATTGAATCATTTTCTATAAAAATCTCAAGGTCTGAAAAAATAATATTGGATGGACTTATTTCATGTGTTAGCTTAATGTTCCATGAATTATCATTAAGGGATTTAATAAAACTTTACAGGGATTCTGAACTTCCCTTCCATATAATAAAAATGTCATCGATGTAGCACTTATTTAATTCTTCCCAGTAGGACATAAATAAATTAGCGTAACTTGGGGCAAATCTGGTCCCCTCTTTTTGAAGATAAAAATGGTCCTCAAACCAAAAAAAATTATTGTTGAGGATCATATTAGCCTTAGTAGCCTTGCACCCTATACTGTGTTTTATATTGGAGTGGAGGAGATAAAAATAACCTCCTTAGTAAGAGTGAAATTAAATGGATCTTTGATCTAAATACACTTATACCTAGGTGTCTCAATGTTGACTTTGAAATTAATTCTTATATCTAGGTTTTTAAAATATTTTTTTAGTACTCTTTTTATGAATTGTAACCAAAATTTCTGAATTAACTTTGTGTCTTAATTAGTCATATATTGACATATATGTTTTGAATGTGTATTAATGCATTATTCCTTGTATATCTTTTCTATATTTTTTCTAAATTTTTTTCCTAATTTTTCTCCCTCTGGTTCCTTATGTACATGCTTTTATATATTACGCATATATTTCTCAATTTAACTGCATTTAATTTATTAATTGGATAATGACTCCTATAAGCTGTTTTGGGGCATTTTCTACTATATTGATTTTACCTTTTTTAACTTTTAACTTATATATTTTCTATTTCCCTATTTTCTAGTAAAGGATATGGATCTAATTATTTTATGCCAATTTTCCAAATTACTTCCAATATGATTAACTATGTATTTGTATGTATAAAGTATGTATTTGAGTGACATTTTGCTGCTATATGAATGTTTTTAAATATTTGCCATAAGAATAACCAGTGGACTTTAAAAATTATGAACTGTAGGGGGCGGGGCCGGGCGGCCATGCCAGCAGGCTGCAAGACACTGGGGCTCCTGAGGCAAATACACACCTTACTGTGCTTGTACCACCCTGGGGGCCCACGGCAAGAGGCTCTGGAGTGTCCCAGTGCAGCTGGAGCGCCCGATATTGGGTGGTTCTGGGTCCTGGTGAGAGACTCTGGGGTCTGAAGACTGAGGCCTACCCGGGAGGGGAGTGGGGCGGACGGCCGCTGCCTCGCTTTCCGTCCTGATTAAAGCGAACAACCACTTGCCTGGCCACTTCGTGGTCCCGGTGGGGGTCATCCCGGTCCCGACATGGCAAGCTACCATCTGCACACGTATTCTGGGCGACCCAAAGTCGAAATTGGAAGGCCCCACGCGGTCACGCCAAAATGGCCGACAGTGGCGATGCAGCTCCACTGGCCGAGATGGTATACACTTAACGACAAGCTGGGGACCCATGCGGCCCGGGCCGGCACAGCGGGAGGTCCTTGAGGGCCCTTGATCCCCTACGCAACAACCCTAGAACACCCTCGATGACATGCGGGAACCAACACAGCCTGCATTTCCCACACCGGCCTACAACGCAGCAGTAACTCCTGAAGAAATCTGAGCCACTGACCAATAATGGGAGAGCACAAAGAGGAACCATCTGAAGCACCGATCTAAAGTACCAAGTCCAACCTTACCCAGCAACCGAGAAGCTTGTGGACGGAGGGTGGCGAACGCTGCGCCTTATGGTGCGACTTTGGGGTACTCCGCAGGGACTTTCATCACGCCTAGGCAGGGACTGTATTCCCATGGCCTCTTGCTGTGTGCACTGTTGGAGCTGGCAATGACCCCAGCCTTTTAACGTTAAGAAACACACCGTACTGTATGCCACAGATAGCCTCAAATGCAGATTGTTGTAACTGCAACTGTGGATTAGCATGCAAGGTCTTTGTTTATTATAATACATATAGTGCTGTTTGAATTAAGTTCCATGCCTATAGACGGAGATAGCCCTATAAATGATGATCTGCCTGGTGGCACCTAGCTTTAAAGATAATCTTTGTTAGATATATTACAATCTAATATCATTCATGCAACTACACTGCCTGAAATTATAAAAAGTGCTATGCCCAGATAAGCTAAATAACTTAAATTCAGTTAACTGTTGAAGGGCATGCTGGCAATAGCGGTTGGATCTTGCACATAAATACAAAAATGTGCGATTACTCTAGCCACTGCTGTTGTGGCGCTTGTGGATATTTTGTACCTACCTACACAACAAAAATAAAAAATATATTTAAAAAACAAATTTGAACTGTCCGATATCAAAAGAGATCCTCCGAAGTCATTATGATGAAAGCGGAAGTTAATGAGATTTACCCGTGTCATAGAGATGAATGCGGAAATGAAAGAAGTAACTAAGGACGCTAGGATGCCCAGCTAAATGGTAACGTCGAGATGTAAACAAAGGGGAGGAGCTTAATTTTGAGCACCGAAAAAGAACCTATTTAAACTGAGAAGAAAAAAGTACTATGTACAGGCACTCTTTTATCCGTGTTGGTGCAAAGTATCAAGGTGGCCCATATACCTCAAAATATATATGCCTAGGGAAGCACAAAACCAGTATACACCACTGCATGTAGGGACTAACAGAAAGGTGAGGCATGGAAGGTGCAGGTGGACAGGAATATGAGCCTCGCTTCCGCATTCATTATGGACTGTAACGACGCAAGTTGGGAGCATGTGAGACCACTGAGAAGCTGATTACAGTAGTCAAGGTGAGAAAGGACAGTGGAATGGACCAACACCTTAGTCGCATCTGGCGTTAAGTAGGGGCGGATGCGCGCAATGTTTTTGAGATGGAAATGACAGGATTTGGCGATAGATCGAACATGAGGCTTGAAGGAGAGGTCGGAGTCAAAGAGAACACCTGCTTGGTGGAGCTGTTGGTAGCACCGTTGACTTGGAGGGAGACAGACACAGGAGTAACAACACTTGATGGAGGAAAGACCAGAATTTCAGTTTTGGTCAAGTTTAGTTTCAGGAAGTGGGCAGCCATCCAGTTAGAAACAGCAGAGAGGCAGCCAGAGACATTAGTCAAGAGGGGCGGGAGAGAACAGGAGAGGACAGGTAGATTTGCGTGTCATCTGCATAGAAATGATATTGGAAGCCAAAGGAGCTAATGAGTTTACCAAGGGAGGCAGTATAGATGTAGAACAGTAGGGGACTAAGGACAGAACCTTGGGGGACACCAAGAGAGAGGAGTAGTGGAGAAGAAGCAGAGCCAGAGAAATAAACACTGAAAGAGCGCTGGAAGAGGTAGGAGGAGCACCAGGAGAGTGCAATATCTTGTAGACCGATATTGCGGAGGATGAGAAGAAGCTGTTGATGATCAACAGTGTCAAAAGCCACACACAGGTCAAGGAGAATTAAGTTAGAGTAGTGGCCACGAGATTTTGCAGCGGGTAGATCATTGGATACTTTGGTCAGTGCCGTTTCCACAGAGTGCTTAGCGCGTAAACCAGACTGAAGCAGGTCTAGCAGAGAGTTGGACTCAAGGAAGTCTGTCAATCTCGCATACACAATTCTTTCAAGGGATCTTGGATGCAAAAGGCAGTAGCGAGATACGACGATAGTTGGATGGGGAGTTAGGGTCAAGATTGGGCTTCTTTAGAATTGGGGTTACAGTTGCATGTTTGAAGGGCAATGGAAATATACCAGAGGAGAGAGAGAGATTGAGCATTTTAGTGGGAGGTGGAGAAAGAAGACAGTACGGATGAGATGCGAGGGAATTGGATCTAGGGAGCAGGTGGTGGGGCGGGAGGACTGGAGCTGAGCAGAAACCTCTTCCAATGTAGCGGGTGCGAATGAACATAGAACAGCAGTTAGGGGAAGTATTGTAAGGGGAAGAAGAAAGATGAGAGATCTCTCCTCTGATTGTAGAGATCTTGTCAGTGAAGTGAGTTGCAAAGTCTGAGGCAGTCAAGTTAGTAAGTGGAAGAGGAACTGCAGGGCTAAGAAGAGTTAAATGTGTGAAATAGTTTGGGTTCGCGGGAGAGTGTGGTTATAAGGGTATTGAAGTAATTAACTTTTGCAGAGGAAAGAGCCAAGCTGTATAAGCTCAGCATAAATTTATAGTGGAGAAAGTCAGATGCACAGTGAGACTTTCTCCAACAGCGTTCAGCAGTTCTAGAGCGTTTTTGGAGGTATCGAGTGAGCTGGGTGTGCCAGGGTTGTTGTTGGAGGCGCCTGTGGTGTTTAAATGTACAAGGTGCCATGAAGTCTAATTGAGAGGGTGGAATTGTAGAAGGAGGTTGCAAAACTAGGACAGGTGAGGTTTGAGATAGGTAAAAGGAGAGTTTGGAGATTAGTGGAGAAATGCTCTAGGTCTAGACATTGGAGGTTTCTGTGAGAGTGATGTTCAGACGATGGTGTCAATTGGGTCTTAGGTATGCCAATGTCAAAAGTCAGCAGATGGTGGTCAGATAGAGGAAAATGAATATTGGAGAGATTAGAGGCAGTACAGAGGTTGGTGAAGGCAAGATCAAGAGTGTTTCCCGCTGTATGGGTTGCTAAATTGGACCATTGCATAAGGCCAAAGGAGCAGTTTACCGAGAGCAGACGAGAGGCATCAGTGCAATTGGGGTTGTTGATTGGGATATTGAAATCCCCAAGTATAAAGGAAGGAGTGCTAGATGAGAGGAAGTGGGGAAGCCAGTAAGAAAAGTGCTCAATAAATAGTCTAGGATAACGAGGGGGGGAGGGGATGCAAGCAGTGTGAGTGAGTTTGAGATGAAAAAGTCGTGTATGGTTGCTGATTTTAAATTTCTCACGATTCGGGAACCTAACACGCTAACAGGTCACAGAAAGTAAAGGGTGCAATACCGGTCCTTAGAATGGCCGGGTTAAGCACACTAAGAATAGTCAGGAGACAAGTAAAGGGAGCCAGAAAACAGGAGAACGAGAAACAAGCCGAGGTCAAAGGAATGGAGAATACAGGAAAATCGGAATAACAAGCCAAATATTCGGTAACCAGAGAGAAACACGAGCAAACTGCAATACAGGTATCACAAGACTACAACAGGGCACTGAGAGACAGGAAAGGTAAGTATATAAATCCTGTGCTTAGTTCTGATTGGATAACTGTAGCACAGGGGCAGTGGCAAATGCCTTTTTGAGAGTCTCGAAGGCCTCAACGGCTTCAGGAGTCCAACCACTGCAAACCTTTTTTATTCAGTTTCGTGATTGGAGAAATAATTAATGAAAAGTTTTTAATAAACCTCCGATAATAATTGGCAAACCCTATAAACCGCTGTATTGCCTTAAGTCCTTGGGGAAGAGGCCAAGACAGGATGGCTTCTAATTTGGAAGGATCCATGCTGAATCCCTGTTCAGAAATGACATACCCTAGGAATTGTACAGATTTTTGGTCGAATAAACATTTCTCTAGCATCCAATAAAGACCGTTCTGCAACAATCTCTTAAGCACCATCCTCACATGAGTATGGTGTGACTTCAAATCAGGAGAATATACAAGTATGTCATCAAGGTAGACTACGGCACAGATTTACAGTAGATCTCTAAGGGCATCATTTATGAGGTCCTGAAACACAGCAGGAGCATTACACAGTCCAAAAGGCATGACTAGATACTCGTAATGCCCACTGCGTGTATTGAAAGCTGTTTTCCATTCATCATTCTCTTTTATACGAACCAGGTTATAAGCCCCCTTGAAGTCTAGTTTAGTATAATATCTAGAACCTTTAACATGATCAAACAACTCAGTGATGAGAGCGATAGGATAAGCATTTTTAACCGTTATATTGTTCAGACCCCTGTAGTCTATACATGGCCTCAAATCGCCCTCTCTCTTGGCAACGAAAAAGAAACCAGCACCAGCAGGAGAGGAGGACCTTCTGATAAAACCTTTGCTTAAGGATTCCCGTACGTACTCCTCCATGACCTGATTTTCTTTCTCAGAAAGCGGTTAGACCTTACACCTAGGGGGCATAGTACCTGGTAACAGGTTTATGCTACAGTCATAATCACGGTGTGGAGGTAGCTTATCAGCCTCCCTTTTTTCAAAAACCAATGCGAGGTCTGCATACACAGAAGGGACAGAAACAGAAAGTGGTTTAGCTGTGGGCAAACAACCAGAACGTATACGGGCCATACAGTCTCGTTGACAAGATTCCCCCCAGGAGAGTATATCTAAACAACCCCAATCAAGTACTGGGTTGTGTTTAACTAACCAGGGAAAACCCAGAACGATGGAAGCTGTAGGGGAGTCAATTATTTGGAAGGTTAACCTTTCCCTATGCAAGGCACCCACAGTCATAACCATTTCTTGGGTTTCATGGGTCACCAGAGGTTTTTCAAGTGGTCTACCCTCTATGGCCTCAATGGCCAAGGGTGTGGCCTTTTGGATCAGAGTCAAGGCTGCGGTTTTAGCAAAGTTCTCATCCATAAGG